ATAGCTACATATTAAATAGTACAATTTATGAAACTAAATTATTGCACTTATGCAGCTATTCTAAAGAGTATAAGTCTCTTTTTTTTCTTTTTTCTTTTTTTTTTGGGAAACTAAGGAATATAAGTTCAATTTATATATGTAACTAATGATAAGATCCATTTTTTTTATAATTAATCACTAAGATATTCAAAGCACTGACTTTTCTATGCTAAACTTTTAATTTAATACAAAAAATCAATTCAACCATCTATATTACTTCATGCAACTATTAAACAGTTGTAAAAAATATTAGGTTTAAGCACACCATTGGAGGTTTAAATCCAAAGGATTGAGGAAAATTAACTTGAAACTTGGAGCTTTTATGCATTTATTAATTGGTTATGTATTTAGAGAGATTTGAGTTAAGAGAATAAGTTTTTCTTGGGAGAACTAAATAATTACAAGATGAAGGTAAAAGTACGTTGTATGGGCTCACATTTGGATAGACCTGGTTTTTAAAAACTCAATGATTCAAATTGTGCTACATTATTTGATGATTATACCTTTTGTTTCTTCTATAATCTGTACTTATTGGGATGATATTTGATGAAGTTGTGTGGCACAATTTAGACTATTGAATTTTTGAAAATCGAGTCTACCCAAATTTTGGCCCACTAACATAACTATGGGCAGCCAACTTGGATAACACATACCAGAAAGAGAGCCTAGATTCAACTTAGTATATAATTATCAAAGACTCAAATATCATCCCAATAAGTACAGATTATAGAAGAAACAAAAGGTATAATTGACTTATAAGGTTAACGTAGTCACAAAAAATATTTGGACCATATTCTGTCTCACATGATCAGAGTTGAACAATTGAATTCACAAAATTGTCCATCCACTCAATATCATCCCAATCAGTACAGAGTGTAGAAGAAACAAAAGGTATAATTGACTTATAAGGTTAACGTAGTCACAAAAAATATTTGGACCATATTATGTCTCACATTATCAGAGTTGAAATTAACCTTGACCAATAGCATACACAATTGAATTCACAAATTGTCCACCCACTCAATATCATCCCAATCAGTACAGAGTGTAGTAGAAACAAAAGGTATAATTGACTTATAAGGTAAACATAGTCACAAAAAATATTTGGACCATATTATGTCTCACATTATCAGAGTTGAAACTAACCTTGACCAATAGCATACACAATTGAATTCATAAAATTGTCCATAGGGGACCAAAACCATTATCGCTAAACTAAACTCCCTCTTTCTATATGTAAGATTAGGATTTCTATTGACTTATATTTCATGAATAGAACTTGTAAAGCTTTTCTGGCAGCACATACTCGGGAGCCAGGCCTTCCATCTCATATTGGATAATCATCCGCTGAAATCGTCTCGACGCTTTTCTAAGTGCCAAAGCTGGGGTTGTTAGAATTATTTTCAATACAATTTGCCAAAGCCGAGGCATGATGTTTCAAAATGCTTGATCGGCTTCTTTACCTAATCGTTAATAAACACCACTTTATATAAGTAACTAATACAACAAAACATAACTGTACTGAAAAAAAAATTATTATGAATGTGGAGATAACACGGCCATGGTTGATTGTTAGGAGAAATGAAACTTGTACGAAGATTCAAGCTCATCTCGAAATCATTACTAATTCTCATCCAAACGCAATTGGCTAGCTAAGAAAGAATGTAGAGAATTCATATTGTTTTGAGCTTTAAATTCAAGTGCACTCTTGATATGCATAGTTTGTTGTCGGCCGTCTCAATAAAGAATGGCGTGAATTTTTCATTTTTTATTTGTTGAAATTTAGGAGCGAAGGGAAAGATGAGGATTGGATAGCAGGTACAAAAAATGATAAGAAAATTAAAAGTTAATGAATTGTCAGTACGTTTACTCTATCCTAATCTAGGAGGGAGGGGAGCCTAAGGAGGCTGTGACAGGGGGTTAGTGGGTATACAGACCCAACTAAATCAAAGAAGTGTTATGGCACAACCCTTAGATTTTTTTCACTGCAGGTGAGATTTGAACCCTCACCTACAACCCAAGGAGAGACTTAAGCCTCTCCTGATGGCCACTGAGCCATTGGCCCAGTGGATAAATTGTCAGTACGTTACTATAAACTCTCTTGTTTAAAACGCAAGGGGAGAGAGGTAACAGGCAAGGGGGGAGGAAAGGGGGAGAGGAGAAAAGGGAAAAAAAAATTGTCGCTGCCATTGTCAGCGTCGGAAGCTTTGCTCGGTGAAGGAGAAGGAGAGGAGAGAAAAGAAAAGAAAAGAAAAAAGGTTTTATGATTTAAAAATTTTTTTCTAAAACTTCTATGAAAAAGGAAAAAGAAACTGTCGCTGCTGCTGTCAATGCCGGAACATCTGCTGGGTGAATTGTGAGGTGAGGGAGAAGAAAAATGAGAGAAAAGAAAAGAAAAAAAGTTTTATAACTTAAAATTTTTTAAAAATTTTTTTACAATAAGCTAGATAAAATTTTAAATAAATATCCAAAAACATCCATTGGACAAACGTGGCCAAAATTTGATCAAGCATATCTAAGTGGTAGTTTTTTTTTTTCCAAACGAATCTAAGTAGTAAGTTGTACAACTAAATATTAATTGTGACGTCCATTGAGTTTAGAAAGGAATCATACCTGCAAGGGCCAGGTGTAGGTAACGACAGTCTTTGAAATGAACGGAGTGCAAGTTTAGAGAGACAGGTTTGAATCGACACGGTTGCTCTTCTGGGCAGAAACTGTTATGAGAGAACAGTAAGGGAGCCAGCGGGGAAAAGGATCATCCAACTATATGCAGACATGTAGCCGCAATCGGTACGGAGCTATTATAAACTTCTCAGCGGACTCCAAATTCCGGACTTCACCCTAAGTTTTAACTGCATTTTCTTGATTTGGCTTTTGCATCAATGATCCATAAGTGCCGGGACCTAATCCTTGTCCTGTAGCTTTTAAGCAATTGGGACACAGTTAGAAAGAGACTGGGAGATGAACGCCGCGTGATGCACGGTGGGATTATATGAGGTTGGCATGCCCCGCCGAATGAAATTTTTGCAACTTGAAATCATCGTGATTTAATGGAGAAAATATCTTGTTTAAATTGTGGCTCATTTTGGATCCATCAATTTTTCAAAAACTCATTTTTTAAATATTATAAAAATTTTTAAAAAATATGCTAAAAAGTAGTATAAAATTTTTTAAATTTTTAAAAAATATTTCAAAATATATTTTAAAAACTCTATATTTTAAAAACTCTATTACAGTAAAATTTTTCAAGAACATTCCAAAAAAACAGCTAATTCAAACGGATTAGAACATTTTGTTAAAAAATATATCGTAATAGTTTAATATATATAAGACAAAAAAAAATAATTGAGAAATATGTCGACAAAAAATGTAAAAATTTTTCTTCAAAAAATCACAGTCCAAACAAACAATTGAAAGGCTCAATTCAACGTGCTGGTTTCTTTTTTTTTCTTTAGAATTATTTATTGAGATAAATGACCAATTTAATCCTCAAACTTTTTTATTTAAACCAATTTCATCCTTCATTTTTTATATAGATGTTTTTAGTCTTTCAACTTTTCATGGTGTTGACTACTAATTTTCAAAATTGCAAAAGGATGAAATTGACTACTAATTTTAAGTTAAAAGGACTAAGGGGGCGTTTGGTAAGAGGGTATCGGATTCGGGGAATGGAATGAACTCCATAAATGGTGTTTGGTTCACTGGAATGGGAATTGAAATTTTGGAATGATTTCTAAAAATTTGGTGTTTCTCCATTCCCAAGTATTTTGGTGGGTTTTGTCCGATTCCCAAGTTTGATTCCAAGAAACAAATCCAATTACATATTATAATTATACAATGATATAATTAATATTTATATATATTATACATATTATATATTATAATATATACATATATATAATATATTATAATTATAATATTAGTACATTATATAAATATATATTATAATTATTTAGTTAAATATAATTATATTCATATAATATATATTATAAATTTATTAATATTATATAATAATATATTTATAATATATATGTATATTTATAAATGCATATTATATGTGCATATGATTATAATATACACATGTATATAATATTAATAAATTATATAATTATATTTATTATTTTAAATACAATAATATATAATAATTACTATATCTAATATTAATATGCATTATACTTATATAAAATATGAGTACAATTAATATTTATATATTATATAATTATAATTATGTATTTATTTTATAGAGTTTGTATAATTATAATTAATTATATATATAATATTTAATTTAATTAGTTACAAACTTATAATAATGATGTTATTGTATTATATAATTATATATTATAATTATTTAGTTAAATATAATTATACTTATATAATATATATTATAAATTTATTATTATTATATAATATTATATTTATAATATATATGTATATTTATAAATGTATATTATATGTGCATATAATTATAATATATACATGTATTTAATATTAATAAGTTATATAATTATAATAATAATTATTTTAAATATAATAATATATAATAATAACTATATTTAATATGTAATATATATTATATTTATATAAAATATTATTATAATTAATATTTGTATATATTATATAATTATATATTTAAATTATAACATTTGTATATTTATATTTAATTATATATTTAATATTTAATTTAATTAGTTACAAACTTATAATAATAATATTATTATTTATATGTATTATATAATGTATATTAATTTATGTAATATAATTAATATTATCAATTATATTAATAATTATACATGTTTACTAATAGAAACTATTAATTAGTTAGACTAAATTTACTAATACATTTATATTAATATATTTAATTAGTGAAGATTTCTTATATCCCATTTACAAAGAGCCAATAACTATCATTTACAATGGAATTTATAATATATTTATTATATTCCATTCCAAAAGAGTCGACGAACCAAACATCAACTATAGTAATGATACACATTTCAGGTATTTGAACCAAACAAATGTATTGGAATGAATGATCTCATTCCAAACCCAAGATATCCGATTCCGAATCCGAATCCGATACCGATGTGCGAACCAAACGCCACCTAAAATTACCTAAATAACAGATGAAGGATGAAATCGCCTTGAGAGTTAAAATGTCGGAGGACTAAATTGACCATTTCCCCTTCTTCTTTATTGCAATGAGTAGACAATTTTGTCTTAAACCCAAAAAGAAAAATGGTGTTGCTGCCGAACGCGGATCACGGGAATCCACCCATACAGTAGCACTATAGTAGCTAGAAAAGTCACATAACTCTGTCTGAGAATTAAACTCCATTAATGCTGTACAACGAAGAAGAAGAAGAAACAAATTCTTCTTGGCGTTATTTATCATTTCTATTGACTTTTATTTCATGCATAGAACTTGCCAAGCTTTTCTGGCAGAACATACTCGGGATTCAGGCCATCCATCTCATATTGGAGAATCATCAGCTGTAGTCGTCTCGCAGCTCTTCTAAACGCCCAAGCTGGAGGTCCTAGAATTTTTTGCAATACAATTTGCCAAAGCCGAGCCATGAGATGTTTCTAGACGCTTGATCGCCTTCTTTACCTAATCGTTAACAAACACCACTTCACATAAGCAGTAACTAATACAACAAAACATAACTGTACCCAAAAAATAAAAATTTATTATGAATGTCCATTACATAAAAAGAAATTTCCAAGTTAACGAATTGTCATTACATTAACATAAACTCTGTCAGAATGAAATTTGATCAAGCATATTTAAGTAGTAGTTTATTACTACACCTAAACCTAAATTTTGTGATGTCCATTGAGTTTAGAAAAGGAAGCATACCTGCAAGGACCAGTTGTGGTGTGGAGGGAGACAGCAACAGTTTTGAAATGAACGGACTGCAAATGATGGGGAAAGGATGATGTGCCCATATATATATATGGACCACTCGTATACCTACCATCGGACTCCAAATTCCGGACTTCACCTTAAGTTTTAAGTTTTAACAGCGCATTTGCTTGGTTGCCGAGACCCAACCCTTTTCCCCAGAAGCTTTTAGTTATTGAATGGAAAACACTTTTCACGTTGATGATCCCATAAAACGCTTAACGGTGTGGATACGGTCAAATGAAAGGGGTTGTCGTCTTCCCATTTACTAGATCTCGATTCTGCCTGTCTCGAATCGGATCCATCAAACTATTTCGAATACGATTAGGGATTTAATTTCGATAAATTATTTCGGATACGAATAGGGATTTAATTTCGTTATCGGGATCCGGACCCAGATCCATTTTGTCAAACTAAAAAAGGGTCGGATATGAAATATAGTATTTCGATCCAGATTCGAATATAAATGGATTAATCATTTAAAAAATATATATTTATCAATATAATTTGATTAGGGTGATGTATTTGAATAAAGTCAATTTGATTTCTTTTCTTATTTAGTTTTTTTTTTGTATTAGTTATAAATTAGTTTACAAATGTATTTTTTCTCATTTTTGTTGCAGAAAATTGCGAAACTTGAAATGATGTATTTGATATTTAATATTTGAATGAACCTTTTAGAAGTTGTAATTTGTTGGATTTCATATTGACTTTGTCGTTTTGGAATGACTTTTGTAGATAGATTTGTGGTTCACTTTGAAATGACTATTGTGAGTGATTTGTGATTTAACTTTGTAATTTGTGACTTAGATTTGTGATTGACTTTGAATGTCTTTGTAATTTGCTGCAAAACATGCTTCGTTTTAAATTCTTGGCAAAATAAGTTTCATTTTTAAATTGTTGCAAAACAAGTTTTGATAGATTTTTTTCCGAATAGACCCGACGCGGATCTGAGACCTGTCAGATCCGGATCCGAAACCCGTCAGATCCGGATCCGAAACATATAGTAGAAGACCCGCTGAATAAGCGGACCGAATCCATATTCAATATAGTAGGCCGGGTCCGGGTTTGAAATAATGAATTCTGGTCCGGACCCGACCCGTTGACAAGTTTACTCAGGTGCTCCCGCACTATTTGACTATATGAAGTTGTTCCTCTTTTTTTTTTTAAAGAAAAAAAAGATACAAAAGTTTTAAAAATTGTTTTCATAGTTTAGTAGTATGAATGTGAAAAACAAAAATAATTTTTAAAAAAATGTTAAATCCAAACAGAGCCTGTACATTCTTAAAGTTGGACTATAATTATGTGGGAGCCCAACCTTTTCCAAGTCCAATTGAATGGGAAAAAAAGAGGCCAGCTACACAACTCCAATAAATAAATGGGCATGAAAACGAAAAAGCAATTCTGCAATAGCCCAAATATGAAAACTCTACATGTTTGTGCGCATACGAATAATCAAAGATTCATGTTCGTTGGTAACGTGGTATAGCAACCGATTCGTGTTCAGCTAGACCAATATCTGAATGCCAAATATACAAATTTTAAGAGCAATATAAATTGAACCAGGTTAAGTAAATAAAATTGTTAAAGATATACAGCCATGGATATAGTACCAACACCCAATGTTGGTCACAATTGTCAATTTTAATCAAATGGATAGCCAGTACAAAAATCTAGTATTGTTTGGATTCCAAACTTTTCATAAAAAAATTTGTATGCTTTTCGTGAATAAATTTTCTAATTATTTTTTTAACTCACATACATTAAATTAATACGAAAAATGTATTTTCTGTAAAAACTCGAAAAAACAACAATCCACAAAGGGTTCTGATGCAGTTTGGATTGTAGTTTTTTAGAATTTTTTATAGAAAAAGATACTATAACAATGTGTTATTTATAGAAAAATATACTATAACAATATGATACACGTGAAGCAACAAAGTGAATGAAAAACGCGTCAAAAGATTGCTCCTAAAATTTTTCTACGAAAGCAAAGGTGATGACTTCATGCATTTGGAAGGAATAAATATGTTGACTTTGAGAAGTCAACTTCTTACATGTACTTGGTCGGCGTTAAATTAATTTTAACTTGCTTTTTTTAAAAACACAACTATGATTGACGTTATTATCGGGTTTGTTTGGATTGTAAGTTATTTGAAATATTTTTAATGTAGCACTTTTTGTGATGTAATGTATGTGAGATGAAAAGATAATTAGGAAGGTAAAAAGGTGTATTGAAATTTGTAATGATGATGTAAGCAAATATATTTGAAAAAATAAAGGCCAATCCAAACAAACCCGATCATCTACACGATATTGACACAAATCTAAAACTTAATTTGACTTGTTCGAATCTGAAATATGCAACTCATTGACAAATGGGGTGTATGAAGAATTCATTGCCCACATGATATTGACACAAATCTAAACTTAGAGCCCGTTTAGATTGTATTTTTTTAAAAAAAATTTTTGGGGAAAATTTACTGTAATAATTGTTCAGAATACGATATATACGAAGTAAAATGATAATTTAAAAATGTGTAGAAGGAATATTTACATAAAACATTCCTCTAAAAAATGGCGGCCAAATAAGGCTCTACCTTTTGAGAAGATGTTTGGTATAATCAAGCACTTAACTTATCATAATTAGTTTGTATGAGAGTAAATATGAAAATACATAAAGTGGGAATAAAATGTTTATACTAAACCCTCTCCACTCCCTTTCTTTATATATAGTAAGTATAGATATTTCTTCACCTGTAATTAAGGGGTTCTTTTCCCCTTTTTTTTTTTTAAAATTAAAAAGTTAATTTGATCACATTAGGATACAAACCCACGGCTAACATTTACTTGCTACTGAAGTTGTCATAAACTCGTGTGGACGCTGCCGCTTTACTTTTTGCAATAAAGTCGTTCAAGCGTCTGCACGACTTAAAGGAAACTAGCATTCCCGGTTGGGATTCTTAAAATCCCAGTAAAGTCCCAGGAACGTGGAGTGTGGGAGACGCGTAGACTGCGCACCAGGCGCACTGTAGACGAAATAGAGTAGCAACGGAGGCGCAGGATTGCGTCCGCCGTCGGCGACACGGCACACATTAGCTAAACTCAGCTGCACCGGAAATTCACAGTGATCACCGACAAATTCAAGCAGAAAACACGATTTTAAACTCTAATTTTGACCTCCAAATTTGTAAAAAGCCAGTTCAATTTCAGGATCATTGTTAGAAAAAGAAGTAGAAAAATGTGGGTATTCTATTTGATCTCCTTGCCGCTAACCCTAGGCATGGTGATTTTAACACTAAGATATTTCGCCGGTCCAGACGTGCCCCGATACGTGTACTTTACAGTAGCGTACACCTGGTTTTGCTCAATTTCCATCATCATCCTCGTCCCAGCCGATATTTGGACGGTAAATTTTTGTGCCCTATTCTGATTTGGAAAATTTGCGTTCTTTTCTTGCTTTTCTGTACGGAAATTTAGCTTATGTTATCGATCATGTCAATTAGGGATCAGTTACTTGTTAGAAACATGTTATTCTAGCTCGAATTGCATGTAGTATTTACGAGGAAGGTTTTTGTTTTTCTTCCTTATTTTTTATTTAGTTTTTTTTTTGTGTTATTCATCTTCCCTAATTTCTTGCCTGTCTCAGCTGGAGCATTTAGCTTTCTGGTTTCTCACTCTTCTTTTCAGTCACCATTATAGAATTTAGCAACGCTTTTTGGTTATTGCGTGGTCGGTCTAGTTTTATTAATCTTGTTTCTTTTTTCTTTTTTTTTTTTTCCCGTACAGACTATTATTGGTCATTATAATGGAGGAATCTCTTTCTTTTGGAGTTGGTCATACTGGAGTACATTCTTACTCACTTGGTATGCCACTTTGAAGTGTTACAGCCTTGTTACATTGGCTCTCTCTTTCGCAGATGGTTTGGAGCAAAAACTTAATTTTGATTTGTAGTGTATAACTGTTGAATAATTCTGATTTTGATTTATAGTCCAATTCTGGAGCTATTACCTTTTTAGTATAGTGCAAATTGTTGAGTTAGTTTCCTGGCCCAAGAAAAAAGAAGTGCAACTAGCAAATAGCGGAAAAAAGATATCTTGGGGTTATCAGCAATCTTCCCTTTCACTTTTACATAATTTTGATACTAATTACCAAAGACTTCTGGTTCGGGATAACTATGCATCATTTTTTGAGAAGTAGGAAAGATGTTTATTGAAGCACCTCATCTTTCTTTACTTGTTGAAATCCTGACTTCTTAATTCAATTGTATGTCTTTCTAAATCTTTGTCTGAAGTGATTTCTACAATTTGTTGTTGAAGCAGGATTTGAGCTCCGATCTAACCGATCATTTAATGTTGACATGCATTTAGCTAAATGCCTTGGGGACCAAAATTGTAGTGGTTTAGTTTTATTGATGAATAGGTTTTCTCTTCTCCATTTTAATAGTCTATACTTTGTTCCGCTGACTCTTTTTGATTTGTCTGTCTAACTTGATCATGTTCTTTTATATCACTGAGTAGGATTGCAGTGCCCCTTATTCAGGGTTTTGAGGATGCTGGGGACTTTACAGTTACAGAAAGATTGAAGACCAGCATTCATGTAAACTTAGTGTTCTATTTAATAGTGGGGTCCATTGGCCTTCTTGGGCTTATTCTTCTTGTTACTATGAGCAAAAATTGGTACGTTCTTCCTCTTGAATATCCCATTTGTTTTTTCGTCTACATTCTCTCCTTTGTCTTGCTTTAGGCGTGTGTCCTGTTGTTTAACAATCTAGGTCTATAAAAGGTTCAGTTTCTTGGAAAATTACCCATGGATACGCCAGCCAAAGCCTTGGGAAAGAAATTGTGTATCTCTTTCTACCACGTGTTAGTATATAAAATTCTTGTGTTCTATATGCTTTTCTATTGCCTACTTCAGGAAGTTATGAGGAGGAAATGACCAAGCTTGCATATTATGTAGTTTCATTGTCTGAGACAATGAGTATGGTTACTTAGTAGAGCATTTCCAGTTTGGGTGGGTTCAATGACATAATTGATTAATAGTAATCTTTTTAGTGGTTATTATGTTTCTATTACTTGATTTCCTTGGATTAAAAACTTGGTTCAAGCATCTTTGTTTAGGCCCTTAATTTTAGTGACATGCTATTGATTTTACTTACAATTGGTCCTGGCTCTTG